GACCCCACAGGGCAATGTGGTACTCTCATCTTGTGGGTTTCTAAAAAGGGGAGGGAGGTCCTGTGTCAGGTAGTTGATGAGTAGCTCACAGTAGGTGCTCATGTCTGGCTTGACGCTGCTTCCCAGGCAGTAGCGGGAGGGGGAGAGCTTGGGCCTTTGGCTGGTGCCCACCCTGTGGTATGTGGTTGCTGTAGCCCAAATGCTTATTGGAAACCTCCTTAGGGAGGTGAGAGCTGCCAGCTCACAGACCCTCTTGGAAGACTGCTTGTCATTTCCCCGCAGCAGTGGGAATTACGTAGAGTTAGCGATGAGGGTGAGAGAGAAAGAGGCTACTGCAGGCGAGCATGGCCTGAAGAGCTCCTAGCCCAAACCTGACAAATACAACTCTTGATTCTCTTTCTCTCTCATAAATAAGTCTCTCCCCCGTTTTATCCAGTATGTTTTCCTCACGTTATCAGCAGTGTACCCCCAAATATATGACCACAGTAGTTCCAAAGCAGCTGTTCTTTGTACCCTTCCAGTTTGGGCACCGCCCTTGCATACCAATGTTGGACAGGCTGTTCTGACCTGCCTTTCCTCAAGAAACCAGGAAACCACTGTCAGGGGATTCATTCCATAAGCCACACATCAGCCTACGGCTTCAGTAATATGTAGAGATGGATTTGTTACATTTCAGCTCAAGTGCAGAAAGCAGTGTATTTTTGCCCACAGTGGCAATAAATTCCACACCCTCCACCGAAAATCACTCTCAGCTGTATCAACAAACAGTGCTTTATTTTAAAATCCTATGTCTGAGATCATGGGTTCTCAGCTTCAGGAAGCCCTCTCTCATAGGAAGAGATACTGATCCAGACAGAAGAAGGCCAGAGTTCTGCCCAGCTATGGAAACTCCCTCTCCCTCAAATATGGGACTGGGGTTCAGACATGTTCTAAACAGCACCAGTAGCTCATGGAAAATGCAGATCCAAATAGAGACTAGAAAGTCAGATCTTCTAGAGATGACAACAGACTAATAACCTTAACAGAATCAGAAGCAAACGATGATTTGGGACACGCTGGTTTTATGTAGGAAGGCAGCTGTTTATGTAAATAGGCAATGTTTATGTAAACAGGAAGGTGGGGCAATGCAGTTATCAATAGGAGGTTCAGGATTTCTGGGACTGAAGTGGGGTCAGTGGTGAACCACCTGAAAGTCCTCACTTCCGGACTGTTGGATCGAGGCACCCGGATATCCCTAGTTGATTCCAGGAATTGCCCTGGCAATCCCATCGACACTGCCTCCCGGAGAACATGCCCCCTTCCCAGGGGCAGCCATACTTAGTGCAGGACCCACAGGCTTCAGGACAGAAATGCCCTGCAGAACTGACCCAGCCCCAGAGCTCCCATCAGGAAAGCTGGTGTTCCTGCAGCAGCACATGCATTATGAGGTCATCTCTCTCTTTCCCAGCCCTCAAAACTGTTCCTCATACAGCTCCTTCAGCCACCTCAGAGCCTCTGTCTGTTCTCTGGGTCACCCGATCAACAAGTGGACTATTGCAAAACCAACTGGAATGTGTAAGGACTTTTAAAGAGTTTCTGCCATCTGCCACAGCTCTTCTCCACAGTTCATGAGAGAAAACAAAGCAGTCTCCGCAGGAGTTTTTGGGCCTCCCCTTTTGCTGACTTCATTCCAAACTACCCTTGGAGGTGAGTTTCCTCAGAGGGTCCACAGGCAGAGTGAGTCATCTTCCTGCCTTTTCCAATCCTTCAAATGGAGTATTTGGGGATCAATAGGGTTTTGTTTTGTGCATCAGAAATATTCCATGAATATTCTGTGAAATGATAATTATAAAAGTTACAAAGAATATTTGATAGGTAATCTTGCTTGTCAACTTGTCACACTTGGGAGGAGAATCTCGCCCTCAGAATGGCTTGTGGGGCATTTTCTTGATTGCTAATTGATATTGGAGGGCTCCATCCACTGTGGGTGATGCTAGGCAGGTGGGCCAGGGTTGATAAGAAAGGTAGCTAGAGCAAGCCAGCAAGCCGCATTTCTCCTTACTCTCTGCTTCCTTTCCTGCCTCTAGGTTCCTTTCCACCCTGAAGTTGATTTTGGTTTGGGTGTTTTATCATAGCAACAGAGAAAAGAATCTAAAACTCGGATACATCTATAATATGGCTAAAGAATGATTCTCTTATCCACTCTGTGTGATGTAAAAAGCACAGTCATTTAAAAGTTGTCTTTTGGATCAATCCTGCGCAGTAATTAAATTGTGTCCCTAAACTACTTCAATGATGTTTGTCTCTGAGGATTGAAATGGGATGCCATGAGAGCAATAATTTACTGTAGTTGTAGTAATATATATGTACACACACACACACGGCACTAAGTTCAATGTTGACAACAGCCTTGTGGGATTCCGTAGTTCTCTCATTTTGAAGATCAAGAAGTTAATAAAGAGAAATTGAGCCACTCTCTACAAATGAAGCTCGCTAATACAGCTTTAGGGTCGAGCTAGACTTTTAGCCCATGCTCTTAAAAAGTGTATAAATGTGTATACCTCTGAGGGTATGTGGAGGTGAGGGAAGCTGACTGGAGAGGCTGAGAGAGGGCATTAGATCTCCTGGATGGAGTTACAGCAGTTGTGTGCTGACTGGTGTGGGTGCTGGGAACACAACTCAGGTTCTCTGCAAGAGCAGTGTATGCTATTAAATGCTGAGCCGTCTCTCCAGCACCTTAGCCTATGTTCTTAACTTGTACTTAATTTCTCCTACTCATTCCCAATTTTATTTTACAGATGGAATTATTTTACTCAGTAAACTAAAGTTCTTTAGCATTACATTTAAAAGCCAGGTGTGGTGGTGCACATCTTTAACCCCAGCACCCAGGAGGGAGAATCAGGTGGATCTCTGTGAGTTCAAGACCAGCATAGTCTACAGAGTGAGTTCCAGGACAGCCAGGTCTCTGTCTGGAAAAAAACAACAAAAACCAAACCAAAACCAAAGCCAAAAGCAAGCAAAACAAAACAACAAGCAAGCAAGCAAACCAAACCCCATTACTGAGCCAATGCCCTGTACTCAGGTTTCTTGTACTCATCTTTCATCAGCTTCTCACCCAGTACTTTGAGTGGTCTCTGAACACTGCAGGAAGGTGGCCACTTCATCATAAACGGGACTGCGTCCTTGTCTCTCCACACTGACCCCTGAGTCTTTTACCATGTCAGCAAAGGTGGCTTCAGTTCCTTCAAAAAGCTTTTAGTTTCAGACGAATGGTTTTTAGTCATTATGACACTTGTCATTCCACACACAGTTATTGCTAGTTTCTGAAGCCTCCATGAACCTCTGCAGTGAATCTGATGAGAGAGATTTGGTGGATGGAGTATAGGAATCATATTTAGGGAAGTTGGGGAAGCCACTGGTGAGTAAAACCCTCTCTTTAACTCAGTGTGTCACCCTAAATGCTATCCTTATTTCTCAAATAAACAGTTTGTTGATTTGTGATTTGAGAGGTTCATGTTTATGCTATCCAAGTGACATATAATATATTAAATGATGTATCAAACCAGCAAGTAGATTGGCTGAATAGTGGGTATTTTTTCTTCCTTAGGCTCTGCCGGACACCTGTTAACATGGCATCTGGTGGTGGATTGACCACAAAGCCAGTGATTCACTTTTGCTTGGGAAATCCTCTTGTTTCATCGGTTTGGGGATGACCATAACCTAGAACTAAAAGTCTTGTTCAGGACTGGGACCTGACAGAATTTATGGCACCCAAAGTGTACCATTCTATTTTTAGTAGCTTTGGAGGACAGTCACCATCAATGAGTCAGAAAAGAAGACATAGGATGTGTGTGTGTGTGTGTGTGTGTGTGTGTGTGTGTGTGTGTTTTATTGAAGTATATAAAATTGCATTGACTAAATGAAATTGCAGTAAAATGTATAAATCTCACATTGCAAAACTCTATACGGTTCGATTAAGATATAGATATGTACACAGATACTTCTAGATACCCTAGACAGCTCTCTCGTCACCAGCATCACCACCAAACATCAGCCCCAGTCTTGACTTACTTCCCCCCTGCACTGGCTTAAGCCTCATTTTCCTGTGGCTTAAGTTCACACAACGGTGTCTTGCTGTCCTGCCCATCTGACACATTTCTGTGGGGATTCATGCGTGCTCCGGCTTGTTTCAGCCTTTCACCCTCTCTCTTTTGTCGAGTCATATTGTGTTGCAGAAAGATGCCACGGTTTTTTTGTCCATGTCCCTGAGAGACATCACGCTGCTTTGAGTTAGGGCTGTTATGAATCAACAGTAATGAGCATTCCTGTGCAAGATGCTCGGTGGACATATGTTTTCACTTCTCTGGGGTGAACACTGAGGAGAGGAATGGCAAGATCATGAGTAACATTGGTCGTTTTCATTTGGACCACTCTAGGGGGTGGTTTGCAGTGTCTGCTCGAGGTCTTCCTTTGTACACTCCTGATGGCTAACAATGCTAAACATCTTTACGTCTTCTTTGGTGAAATAGCTAAGATTTTTTGCCCATTTTCAATGAGTCATTTGGACTTTAAAACATTCTTAATTTTTTAATGCTTTGGTTGACACAAAATTATATGTACTTATGAGGTAGAAATGATATTTGATTCATGTATGAAATAACAACAATTAAGACAGGAGAACACTAACAGAAAATGTATAAGACTATTAACCTACTTTATTGTAGTTCTTTGTTTTCATATTTTAAAAGTATGTTGTTAAAAAATTGTGTCTTTAAAAATGTATGTGTTTTTAAAAATGTGTTTAAAAATTATATATTTGCCTACATGTATGTATACGTACCATGTGAATGCCTGCTACCTGCAGAAAAGGCATTCAGTCCCTTTGAACTGGAGTTATAGCTGCTTGTGGGCTGCCTTCTGGGTGCAGGGAACTGCAAATCTCTCCAGGCCCATAGAGGCTCTTTATATAGCTTGAATGCATATCCTTAGCCAAACATAGGCGTTCTAGAATCTTGTTTTAAATCCTTTGTATTCTATCTTTACTTTCACTTTGCCATATGGAATGCAAGAGGCCCACCACAGCCCAGTGCCATTCACCTTCCTTGTCCGTTTGACTGTTACATTCATATCATTTTGCTACTGCCCAGGCTACAGACTGTAACACGAGTTGCTAAACTGTCTTATTAAAAAAAAAACAAAAACCAAAAACCCAAGCCAGATACTGGGGTAGAAGCTGAAAGATCAGAGGAATAGAACAAGCCAGCCACAAGTCTTCCCGCTAGAAAATCCTCAGCCCAAGAGAGCTACTTCCTAATACTCACGCCTTATATACCTTTCTGTGCCTTGCCATCTTACTTCCTCTCTCTGCCCAGCTACATCACTTCCTCTTTCTGCCTAGCTCTATCACTTCCTGTCTGTCTGTACAGACCTCCAGACCCCTAGGGTTAACTAGTGCTGGGATTAAAGGCATATGTCACCACGCCTGGCTCTGTTCCCAGTGTGGTCTTGAACTCACAGAGATCCAGATGAATCTCTGCCTCCTGAATGCTAGGATTAAAGGCGTGGGCTGCCACAGCCTGACCTCTATGTTTCATATAGTGGCTTTGTCCTTTGATCCCCAGGCAAGCTTTATTTGTTAGAGCACAAATAAAATATCACCACAACAGACCTCCAAATAAAAGGCTTTTGCTTTTACCTTTAATTTTACTTTAAATGCTTCCTGTCCTGGGTTGGTTTGACACATCCTAGAATCATCTGAGAGAAGAGCATCAGTTGAAGAACTGCCTAGATCAGACTGGCCTGTGGGTAAGCTGGGGAACTGTATTGTCAGTTAACTGACGTCAGAGGGCCCAGCTACGTAACACCTAGAACTTTACTGGACGTGTACAATTCTAGGTTAGAGGGTTTCATTTCTCAAAGAGCAGCCGTTGCCCTCTGCGGAGCCGGCCATCTTTGTATTTGCTGTGTCTCTTCACTTCCTTTATCTGTTTCTGGGTGTCCACTTTTTCGGGATTTTCAGAACTTCTCAGCACACATGATGTTTGCTTTTTAACCTCTTCCCTTAAATTTTTCTTTCCCTGTCTTTCTGTGAGGCTCTTGCTGCATACATAATGGCTGAGTGTTGTTTTCCCATAGGCCTCTTTCAATCATGTCCCTTTCTGCTCTGTTTTTGGGTAATTTCTTCATGGTAAGCTCAACATCAGGCTTCACAGTTGGTCTTTTCTCTTTTTCTTCCTATTGTTTCTGTTTTTGTTGTTTTGGTTAATTGCTCAGAGTCCATCTGCACAACCTTTGCCCCTGTGATGCAGAGAATTTTTGTTGTTGTTGTTTCCATTCTTATTTTTGTCTCTACAGCCCATCTTCTATGGGTTGCCCTGGGTCTGCAGAGCTTGGCAGTCAGCCAGGGAGTGATCAGAGGTGGCGCACATGCATCTCTAGTGCAGCTTCCACATCTGGTTGTGCACCAGGAGCAAGTTCAAAGTTCAAGTAGGTTTCAAATGCATCCTAGGTTTTCCATTCCACTGGGCTCTCATGTGTCTCCTCTGTGAGAGTATGCTGTGTCAGCCATGATGGGACCTCATTTGAGCCTTATAGCTCTCTCATTTCTAGAATCTCCCTGTCCAGTTATCTGAGCAGCCAGTCTGTCAGCTGTACACTCCAGTCATGGCTGCATCCGCTTTTCTCTCGCCAGTCTGAATATTTTTATT